TCCCCAGCATAGCTTCCGTGCCCTTTAATTCAGCCTTCAACCCTTTCATAGTATCGTGCACGCCAATTATCTGGACAAACGCCGTCTGCAACAACTGTGTCAGCCTCTGGAGTGCTGGCTCCACATTTTCTCCAGTTACGTTTTCGCTACACATTGCCTGATTTCCCACGCAATGCTGGTGCAACGATTCTTCCCAACTACTCAATGCTGGATTTACCCCTTCTATCTCAGACAGGGTTCCGGAATCCTCGGCTTGGTTTTCCCCTGAAGGACTTTCCGCTCGTATCCGTCCTTTGGGGACAGTATCGCCCGCTGTGATGTCTCCTCTCTCCATGGTTATGATTATGTTCCTTTATAATTCTTTGACAAATGAGTGTCACTATATGTCGTTAATTTCTAATCAGTCTTCTTAACTCATATAATAACCTGTAATATCTGTACTAGTGATTTTTTTCAGTTTTCAAAACATCCATTCATTTCGTACTATAAGCATTGAATGCCAAAGGTTCTTAAGTCCCTTCTACATATGTGACTCGAGAAAGTCCTCACTGCCTCTGTGGCGATTCCCCGTGATTCCACAGTCACTCCACTTTCACATTAGAATTCGCTATGTTTTTCTTAATTTTACTGTATTCTCTCTCATCTGGTCTACACTGTGCATTGCGATATTTATTTCGATTTACTGCACCAAATTCATCCCAGTTATAATACTTAAACTCAGTTCTTGTCTCAGGGTTACGTCAGTTCTTGTCTTAGGGTTACGTGAGCCTGTTCTCTGTAGGAACTCTGAGAACACTGAGAGATATCCAAGACTACCTGAGGGCCTCCGAAAAAAAGAACTCCAACCTAGGTATTAATAGTTGCCAGTGGTGAATAACGCGATCACGTTTGCGAACTTGTCACGGTCATTTTATAATCTTTATTTTTTTATTCAAGATGTATTGTTGCGTTACATTTTGTTTGGAAATAATTATCTAGATCATAATTTTATGATTTTCACTGTTCCATTACAAAAGCCCATTTCTCGCGGAAGTAGCTGTTCCAGACTTCAATAGAAATTCCCATACATGGAGTATGGCATGCTGAGATTAGGTTAGCGGAGAGTTGCTAAATATATTCGTAGTGTAATTTTGAAGTGGCGGACAGCATTCTCTGTGATTTTTTGACTGTATGATTAAGGAAATTGTGTAGCGCAAATCAGTTCATGACAATTTTCTTATACTAGCTCTAGCTACGACTGTCAGTTTTAAAAAATGTTCATGTCCTCTTGCGTTATTTTGGTCTACCAGTTGATCTTTTGCGGTATTATTCCTCAATAGATAATATTGTGTTTCGAATAGTGAATTCCACAATTTCTTTAAACCCGTTAATGTCATTAGCCTGTATCACGTGAAAAGGAACGCTCTAAACCCTTCCTTTTACTCGTCACGCCTCTCCATTAGCGAAAGCGCGCTACGCTGGCAACACTTTGAGGAAAATGATAAGAGAAAAGATCGAGTGTCAGCTTCAACACCACAGACTAAGAAAAAGAGTCTTGTCATAAATCTTCTCGTATTATCACCTTTAGTACACTTTAAGGATATGGATCGAGAGAGAATTGAAGGGTGAGTAAAAATACACTAATGCCGTGCATTAATAATAATCTGACAACTTAACTTTCAGATTTTCTCCTATTTGTGGAAAGGTTTGTGAAAATCTGAAGGCTTGTGAATCGAGAACTGTCATGTGAAGGTGCCATTACTGTCTTTTATTGTGTGTATTTATCATATATCAGCAGTAGCCATGATAACGTACTAAAGATAATAGGAGGTAGTGACTGATCCTGTGGAACACCTGTAACATAATTGTAAATAAATTAGATTGCATATTCATCTGAAACTATATATTTAATATTTGGATGTTACTACATTAATGTTTTTTGTTGTTTTTATTGTAGTTGAATAAGGAAGGTAAATACTGGAACAGGCATATGTAAAGCCTTAGAGGAACCCAACTGTAAGAATTATATGTGTATTATTATAGGATTGTAGCTGCCCAAGGTAGAACCTCCAGGCAAAAACAGCCATCTGGGCGGTAATGGTTGGGCACGTTTAGCCCTCCAATTCCACAGTGTGTAGAAACATATTTTGGTAGAACTTTTTCTTCTCAGGCTATGGTAAATATTATTTCTCAAGATATTTTAAAGAATCCCGCCCCTCTGCCATTGACTTTGCACCAGTTGGCATGACTTCCAAACCAATCAGAGTTATGGCAAAGGTTAAAACCACTACATGTGGTCAGGCAAGATAGAATTTGTAAATCTTCTTAACAGAGTAAAGTTTAATGAAGATCCAGTCCACGCTGTTGTGACAGAATGTGTAAGGTAGAGGATGTAAAGGTAAAACATAAATATATTGATACATAAGAAAATTTGTATCTTTTAGCGCAATGACATTTACATAGCAGTTCTTCCCTCAGTAGTATGTATATATATATATATATATATATATATATATATATATATATATATATATATAATATAATACCTAATATAGATTTACAGGAATATAACTTAGAATTAGTGGTAATTACAAAGGATTAGTCAAGACCTAGGGTGGATATTAGACTGTGTGACACAGCACATAAAATCAGGTGATATTAATATTCACTAGATTTCTTATCAATTTTATTTCTCTCACCAACAAAGATCTAGATTTCAAGAAAGGGGATATGGCTTTTGTATCTAATATTAAAGGGAAGATTGGAAAAATTAACTAAAACCATGTGTATGTCACTTGAGCATTACTATATTAAATTATTTTATTCATTTACTCTTTGTATTCCAACCCATTACAAAAAGTTATTAATTTTGCAGAATGAGGCCTCATACTGCCGAGGCATTAGAGAGCTTACTGCGGCACAATGCTACAAGTGAAACTGAAGAAGAAGAACGAAGGTAAAAACCAGTTTGTTCAAAAACATGATTTTCATGATAGGGAGATTCATACTTGAATAAAGTTGAAGATAGGAAAGCCTTGTGTAAATGTATTTTCTTATTTTTTGTAATATGAGATGCTACTACTGTATTCCCATATCTATAATTATGAAAGACTGATATAGGAAAATGTCATGATTATCCAACTCATTGATTTAAACACTTTAGTTTAAAGAGTTTCATCTTTATCCAAACTTTATGTTGTTTTTAATCTATCCAAATTTTACAGAATGTACAGGTGGATTGATGACACCATTGGCATTAATTTCTGGGAATTTAGAAAAAGAAATCATGCCCTCCTCAGCTTTTTTGAAATATGTGAAGACGTCAGTTATTCTGAGGGTTGGAAAAACTTTGCAGAAAAATTGGGACTTGACTTCACAAATATACAGGCAAGTGATTTCAACCTTTAGTCATCTTTTTAATTTATCATAGTTCATATTGATATTTTTTCCCTTTTGATCAGTAAATTGGATACAGCTGTATCAGAGAATTGCTTTAAGTTCTGATTAGCATTAGTATAATGTTAGTCAATATTTGCAGCACTGTGAGAAATTTTGTGGTCGAGAAGGGCCAACAAAAGCAGTACTTGACAGACTAGAAGATAAAAAGGAATACATCGGATTAACACTGAAAGATGTCCTGTCTGTTCTGGTGGATCTTGGCCAACACGATATCTTACGAAGAGTCTGTTGGCAGGAAGGCATAAGTAAGATCCTTTAGTTTGTGTAGTCCTTAGGTTTAAAATTTGAGGGCACACTTCTTAGAGTAGTAAATGAGATTTCAAGGGGGTAGATAACACAAGTCTTCAGCAGTATCCTCTCAATAGTATGTATCCCTAGGACAGTGAGGTACTCTTATTAGGTCCCAGTCCCCAGGGGAGATACTCTGTAATTCCAGTTGTATTTTTTTAGTTAAGCCTTCAACAGTATTTGCTATATGATTATACTTATGTCTTTTTTTCTTGATTTTTTCATCTTCACTCCATATAGGGTCTTAAAGTCTTGTAGGTCATATCAGGCATCAAGACCTAGTCCAGTATCTTTCACTAAATAAGAAAAGTAAATAAATGCATGCACATGACATATCACTTTATTGAGGATAATTTGAAAAGGAAAAAAATCATGGGTTTTTATAAGGGGACATTGAAGTTTTTCCTGTTTTTTAAAGGAAGCTGCTAGACATTTAGTGATATGCACAAGGGAAATTTTACCGTCCACCTATATTACTTTGTGTTCTTGAAGTATTATTGTGTAGAAGTTTTAGATATTGCAAGTGGAGTAGTTGACAGTATTCATATTCTGAGGATAGTTTAATGAAGGATGAGCTATGAACCATAAAATGTTATAAATTAAATGAGTTGATATAGGATAAGATAACTTATATGATAGTAGTGAAAATCAAATCTCTTATTTATTTTAGTTGGGCTCTCCTCAGGTCCTTGTGGAGTCCTGATCTCAAATTTAAAAAGATTCTCTTAGATATTCATAGCGACTGAACAGCTGTGCTTTGACTTTCAAAAAGATATCGCGACTTGAGATTAGCCATTATTGGGAATAGAGACATAAAAAACTTGACTGAGTTAGTGTTATATACTATATCTATATATATAGATGTAGATACCTTTGCATATTAAGTAAATTAAACCTCATTAACTGAGTGATGTAAAAGAAAAAAATATATGTTCTAGATGCAATATGGTAAGTGATTAATTCATTTAATCTCAGTTAGATTATAGATTTGTAGATCAAGAAGAAATCCAATTAGGAGATGTGTGAAGTTTAATGAAAGCTTGAGTCACAGAACAGAACATAAAGACTATATCTGTAGTTCATGCTGTACTTCATCAGTATTGTACAATTTTGTTTTTACAGTTGAAATTTAGGATGCCATATACTGAAAATACTTGATATACTAATATCTTCCACGTAATTTTGACTTCGTTTCAAAGAAAAGTTTGAGAAGGTGCAGAATGTACAACCTACAATCAAAGAAGGCTTTGAAGACACTGTGCCTGCAACCTTCT